ACTTGGTGTAAGTTGGATAATAATAATCGTATTCATCTATAAGTGAACACGAGAATTAATGTAACCATAGTAACCATTACCTAGTAAGCTAATAGAGCAAACGCAGGAAAACTACAAAATAAAATCAAACTAAATACTAACAAATAGTGGCTATTTAGAGACAAATTGTCAGTATCAATGAAACCACAAAACGCAATCAAAATGAATTAATAATGTGGATTCATGTTCATTGCGTTTTTGCTCATTGATACTGACAATTTGTCACTAAATAGCAGCTATTTATTATTATTTAGTTGGATTWTATTTCATGGTTTTCCTGAGTTTGCTTTAGTAATGAATGATGRATGCGTCTAGACTAATGGCGTGAATCACAAACAAGTCACGAGCAAGTCTCACCATCTTCCTCCTGGGGTAGAATACAGCATCCAAGGGTTTGAGCTACACGGACAAACGCTCTAAAGAAAACATTTCTTGATTGCGGCTTGACAAGCGTTTTCTTGCTCTTCTTACTATAACTTCTTCGTTTTGGCATACTTCTGAACTGACAAGCAAACAAAGATTGAGAAATAACGATAGTTTCTGGTAAATGCTCGCTTTGTAAAATGATTAGGACATGTATTGCACTAATCGATGCAGAGTTTGCCCGCGAATTTCGCCTTCAGCTCGTTCAATGGAGACCTGCTTCCTAAATATGTTTCAGGAAATTGATTTACAACTCTCTACAAGATTTTCATTCCGSAACTCAATTGCTGAATGCGCGATATGCATGCGTAAGAGCGAGAAATGTTGAAAACAAGTTCCTTTTATGACGAAAACTCACCTCAAATTTCAATTTCAAGTGTAAAAAGAGTTAACTGATTTCAACAAAAAGTCTTTGCAAATACTTCGCTAATGTTTAGCTAAACAACCGACTTGAACGAGCTTGTTCTAATTTGATAATTCAATTATGACGTAGCTTTTTGATTGACGTTTTCCTCGAACTGGATTTTGGGTAGCGCGCGCGTTTTCTGTCAATGATAGCCTGCGAAGTCCAGTGCTTGGGCTACCTGTGTCAGCTCTATGATGGACATTTTTGTATGCAGAATTTTGCGCGCGTGTATAAGTAGGTGCGTAAGTGCTCTTGCTGACTGAATTATTAGCTAATTATTTGATGATTGATTCAGTCCCAGTCACCTGATTCCGATTATCCGCCGCAAATTATGCAAATGCGGTCGAATTTGTTTTCTGCTTTAGAGCATTGAAATGACACAAAAGAAGAAAGTTTAGCACACAGGTTAGTTTAGGAACGGTATTTACACCTTTTTAAAAACAAAAATGTGTGTAAACATTGTGTTTATG